ATACATTTCTTTCTCACGCTAGACATCTCCAAAGCTTCAGTTTTTCACGTTCTCCTTGTAGTGTACAGTTTCTCTAAACATAAATAGAATTTCCCGATCTGTTTGGTAACTGAATTTGCTTTTCATAATCAATTTGATACAATTTTGAGGCTTAAAGGAAAGGTCCGGAACATATTACAGAGAAATGATGGAGATGCCATCTCTCGCTGTCCTTATCATCGTGCATCCTCTCAGATCTTAGTTTTTCAAGATTTGGCTTCCTGGGTCTTCGCTAATCGGTCTGTTTTATGGGAATCTGGACTTTACTTTTCGATCTTCTGAGGAATTGGATTAAGTTCGGATCCTGGTAATCCTTCTTTTTGATTCAAATGCTTTCTGGGTTTTCTCAGGTTCCTTGAATTTTGGTCGAGCAATTGATCGACGATGGATCCAGTGTTCCCAAATTGATTTTTTTGAATATCTGTTCGCTTGGGATATACATTTCCTGGATTGCCTCTGATTCAAATAAGGTACTACTTCTTCTGTTATTGATTTGTTATTCACCCGCATTTGATTTAATTTCCTTCTTCTGTTTCAGCTTCGAGAGGTTAGAGATTACAATTCTTCAACATATGTTTATACACCGATCTTTTACTAGAACGAATCGCCATAGCTGATTTTTGTCCATTTCTTCCTTTTGTCTTCTCACTCTCCTTAAAATTCGGACTTGGAATTCGATCCCCAGTACATTATATTAACATCTGAAATGGATGTTCGAAGTTTGAAATTCTGTTGTTTTTTTCTATCTGAATCGAGTATAAATGCTATCTGCATTTAATGATTTTTGGATATCTGAACGATATGCCTCCTGTTGATGTGGTAGGAAAAGGAAAATGCAAACTGATAGTGGCAAGTTATTTGTTGGTGGAATATCTTGGGATACCGATGAAGAACGTCTTAAAGAGTACTTCAGTGCCTTTGGGGATGTGGTAGAAGCTGTCATTATGAAGGATCGGACCACAGGTCGCGGTCGTGGCTTCGGCTTCATCGTTTTTGCTGATTCAAGTATTGCAGATAGAGTTATACGGGAGAAGCACAATATTGATGGACGAATGGTGAGTTATTAACCTTTAATGTGTATCTCCAGACCTGAAAATAGAGCTCATTTCTTATTAGTTCATGACTCCAAATGTATCGAGCAATTTTTTTTTGTCAGTAAAATTTCTAATTCCCTGAGGACTAAATTTTGTTTCCTGATTAGTGTTTCAGCTTGCGTTCAGTCACATTAGCCTGCATTCGCCATTTAATTGCTATTTGAACTCGGCCTTCATTGTTGAGTTTTCTTCATCCCCAGGTTGAGGCTAAAAGAGCTGTTCCCAGGAATGACCAGAACATTGTAGGTAGAACCAGTGGTAGCATTAATGTTTCTCCTGGTCCCGGACGCACTAGAAAGATATTTGTTGGGGGCTTGGCATCGACTGTAACAGAGAGTGAGTTCAAGAATTATTTTGATCAATTTGGGACAATTACAGATGTTGTGGTGATGTACGACCACAATACTCTTCGACCCAGAGGCTTCGGGTTTATAACATATGATTCTGAAGAAGCAGTAGAGAAGGTTCTTATCAAGACTTTCCACGAATTGAATGGCAAAATGGTTGAGGTTAAGCGTGCAGTTCCCAAAGAGTTGTCACCAGGCCCTAGCCGTAGTCCACTTGGTGGGTACAATTATGGTCAGAGTAGGGTCAATAGCTTCCTTAATGGTTACACTCAGGGGTACAGTTCGAGTACCATTGGAGGCTACGGTGTTAGAATGGATGGTAGGTTTAGTCCAGTTTCAAGTGGACGAAGTGTATTCACTCCATTTGGTTCAGGTTATGGAATGGGTGTGAACTTTGAGATTGGTCTAAACCCAGGGTATGGAGGAAGTTCAAATTTTGCTAATAATCTCAACTATGGACGGGGACTGAGCCCTTATTATACTGGTAATTCAGATAGGTTTGGCAATATAGGGTACGACGGTGGCAATGGAGGAAACTCGTCTTTCTTCAGCTCAGCAACTCAAAACCTGTGGGGAAGTGGAGGGCTCAACAACGGAACAAACTCTGCCACTTCCAATGCTCATTTGGGATCAGCAAGCGGCAGCATTGGGGGAAGTGCCTTTGCCAATTCTGGTGTTAATTGGAGTAGCTCCGGAATCTCGTCTCAAGGTGGAGGAAGTAATGTTTTTAGTAACACTGGGAATCTTAATTATGGTGGTGTTGATAGTAGTTATAGTCTGGGAGCTGGAGGGTATGGGAGGAACACTGGTACTGTTTTGCCTCCAACATCATCATTTCCTACCTCAACTGTCGGTTTTGACGGGCCCTTTGCCGATTTCTACAGTGCTGGTTATGGTGATCCCACGTGGCGATCTTCTAATTTCGAAAGAGATGGATCTGGACCGTTTGGTTATGGACTTGGCAGTGCTGCTTCAGATGTCTCATCCAGAAGCTCTCCTGGTTTTATTGGTGCTCATAGTGTTAATAGGAGGCAGTCAAACAGAGGTTAGAGCCACTGATTCAAAATTTATCCATTGCCTCTTTCAATTTGTTTTAGTAGTATCTCCTGATTTATCTTTTAAGGAATTTTATTTTCCAAATCCTCAGATTATGAACATCCAAATGTAGAATTCTATTTTTTTGATCTTGCACAAAGCTGACATAGCACATTTCAATTCTGCACTTGATGATTTAGATCTTAGCAGTTATTGAAAGCACATTTCATTGCCAACTGAGCAGACTTATTTTGTTAAGTTGCCTGCCCCATATTTTAGTGATATGCTGGTATAGCTGAACACGACTTAGTTATATTGTAAGAATGTTTAGAGCAACGAAACTCATTACGAAGGTCAGGAGATATTGGGCACGTGGATCTTGTCTTCGATAAGATGTTGACTAAGGTAGTTTGATATGAGGAATTAGAACACCATTCCTGCTTCTTGGTTTGTATAATTGAAATGCCTAGCTGAAGGGGCAATCTTTAGCTGTTTTCTTTGGATTACCGAAAAAGAAAAAAGGAAACAAGATAACTTGTATAATAGTACTGATTGAAGTTAAATGAAGGGCATTCAATGTAAAACATGAATACAAAATTCGACCTATATGTAAATTATCTTTTCATGGAAAATTCATCTCTC